CCACTAACGCTGAAAGTCGAAAACATGAACGTACTTCGTTACTGCATGAGGATCGAAAACAAAATTAGTGGCCACGTCTGTAACCAATGCAAATAGCTTTAAAAATGACATCATATTACTGCGGCTCCTATCGTACCGCCAGAAGAAATAAGAACACATTTTTCAAAGTTATGATCAGTGGAAACAAGCAGAACTAGCTGAGAATAATTATTGGGTAGCCTGAAACAATTAGACTCCATATGCCTAGTAACAGGAATCTACTCTAAAGAGGCCAGTTTGTACACATATTATCCCACTTAAACTCAGTTCACCTAGAGAACTGAGGCTACCTCAGGGGATAATTCAATGATGAAATCAATTAGAAGTCGTTATTTTGACAGCTCACCGTCTACATCATTTCCCATGTGCTCTTGGTATTTTCCATGGTTTTACTTGGAGTGCGCGCCAAGACGGGGAGAGGAATCTACGTAGGTAACACATGCCGAACGAGGAAGGTTAAAACTTTGTCCATGGTGTCCCGAAATCTAGTGTTCGTTGAATCGCAAAATCAGGCTCATGACTTAGAGGAGTGGCACTACAGTCATGAGGCACACCCCAACGAATTGCTTGGTATGTCAACATTAAGACAAACTTTATCGCTCAACCACAAAGGATATGTTACAAGAGTAATGCAACTTGTGCTCTAATCTGAGTAACTAAAAAAACGGTGCTCTAAAATTGCACAACTAACACACCAAATAACCATCTGAAATACCTCTGAAGGCGGTCGAAGTCAATATACCGCTGGCTAAGCAAGTAAATAACCAGAACAATTGTGTTTTGTTCCAATCTGTCTGCAGTTCTGAACCGAAGGTATTACACCATGCTACAATCCGATGTAGAAACATTGATTTACCGCAAGTATGAAGTAGACGGTTAATCAGTAGGTGCTCTATGCGCCAGCCGGAACCGGCCCCTGGCGGTATATTCGAAATTCATCCAAAACGATTCTCAACCGACTCCACAAATGTCGCCGTAAATTCACGTGGAACGGTGGGGTTTTCAGATACTCTTTCAGTATCCGTAGTATACAAAAGCACATCACCATGGTAGCTAATTTGTGAGCTCCGATCTCGCTAATCTTCAATATCTAGGGATCTAACCATGCTAACCGAGATATGGCTGAATGACGCGATCAGCCACTCTGAGATCTCACTACTTAGTCTGTTACTTCTGCGTAACTGCCGACCTAATAAAGGAGGCGGTGAAATTTCTTAGTATCTCTCTGCCTTACGAGTCGATCGGGTAGGTTCAAAATGTAAACAAGTTATGGTGCCGATTACATTTAAGGCAAAGCGATAAATGTTTAGTGGTCATTGTAAACGCCATAAAAACCATACGGTCTCTGCTGAAATCAAACTTTTCAAAATATTCATTCTTCTCAATCTGGAATACAGCAGCATCATTTATGAAAATATGTAAATGGGTGACAGACAATCTCAGAGAAACCTGTAATGTTTATTCAGTAAACATTTGTTCAGTAAACCAAACATCTTTGGTTATCAGAATGCTTGCCGGCAGCTTCACTCGAGCCTCGTTGGTTGTTACGACTAACACATACCCAATTCCACAAACCAAAAGTAATAATGTAATAGATCTACATTAGAACTGCAACTTGACCTTACTCAATGGCCTCGCAACACGACTGGTAGATTACTTGTACGAAGAACTAAGAAAGCTATTCGTTTTAATGGTGGATGTTTGTGAGTAGTGTAAATTTCGAAGAAAGTAGAAGCCACGATTACAATTCACGCACAATAATATGCCTCGACGGGGAGTCGAACCCCGGTCCACGAATTTCCGGTCCGCTGCTCTACCACCTGAGCTACAGAGGGCTGACGATTAGGTGCGCAAATTTTAACACATGTCTTCTGCTTGGTGCGCGACGTGTTGCCAATAAGCTCACAGTACCCGTCGAGGCATATTATTGTGCGTGAATTTTATTCGTTTTAACTTTGTCAGTTACGTCTTCCTGTGGAATAGCGTACTCTATCAGGTCTTGTACCAATACAAAAACATTCCGCATTATAATTGAAAATCCTCTTCTCCAGAACTCGACAGTTGCCAAGGGAAAATAAAAGATGGATTCTTCCAAGATGAACCAAGGAATATATAGTAATTATGAAAGGCTTTTGCAAAAAAAACTTGGAACCAGCACAATACATGTATTGCGGAATACCATGTGAACACACACGTTACCGAATACAAATCTCACTCATGCAAGAGCATGATCAGAATTGTATTAAAGATCGGTTCTAATTCCTGAGACAGCCTACTGCGCACTCGAAAAGTATAAGCGTTATCATAATTACTTTAGACGTGGACAAGGTTAAAGCTTCAGCCAGGCAGCGCCTACTGGCACGGTCTTGCAATCATGTTCTCCGGCTATGTGACCACAACCTGCAAGCCCAATAATACCAGGCAACTATTGGTGAGCAGTTTAATGCGACACTGTAGAAGCTACTTACTAGCCCACCATTGTACAACGCGTTTCAGGTCAGTAAACAAACCAACCATATTTGAGTTCGCCAACGAAGAACTCATGTTCGATGTAATAACGACGAGAAATCCTTCGGACCGCGGTGTTTATGCAAAATTGCTGCTCCGCTACATGTACTAATTAGAATATGATAATCTGTCTGACCGCACTGGTGAAACTATCTGGTCATAATTAGCCCAAGGGTCCCCCAAGGTCCCTGGGGGAAGTTTGTCAACAGATGCAACAACCTATTGAAAAGCACTTCAGAAATCAAAATCAATTGATCGGAAATACCGAAGCCCTTCATAAGGGGTAGGAAACGGAAATGCATGGAATCGGGGGAACCAGCTCGACTCTGCCACATAGTCGCTGAGGGAGGTCTTCAAGGTTGTTTATACAACCTAAGGGAACCATTGCGTCGACCTCGTCCGTAAGGATAGAGTAAAGTACCAGCACTATGTCCCAATAACATTTTTCAATAAATCTAACGCAGTTTACAGGCACGTGAACCATTGTCGTAGAGTTAAGCGCAGTATTTGCGTTCTACACTCAGCTTACGGGATGTCACAAATTCCAAAATGGACGGCCACAGCTCATGGACAACGATTCGTTCGTACATTCCAGCATACCATCTTCCAGCATCCTGCTTACGCAGATCATACAGCCATTAGAACTTAGCCAAGTATCCATTTACGGTCACTGATGTATTGAATCGGCTGATGTCTTTGTGTAAGTACAGCTCGCATGGTACGGACGTAATTCCTCCCAAGGCGTTGAAGATAGATTTAGTTGAACCGTTCTTTTACTGGTTCATTTAACGGTAAGCTGATGAGATGCGGGTTTCAACGCGAGGGACCTTCAAATCTACAACCATAGCAGTCGTGAACTGCTTGCGAACTATCGGCCTATAGTGTTACTTCCTGTGATCTCTAAAGTTATGGAGTCCATTGTCGTTGGGGCGTTCATGGGGCACCTGGAGAGATACAATGTCTTCGTTCCGGAGTACAATGGGTTTCACCAGCACCTGTCGTTCGCTATTAACTTACGGATAGCTCATGCTTGCTAGACGGAGTTTGTCCACGCTGGAGTAGGAGTGGATGTCTTCTGTCTGGATTGCTCAAATGCATTGAATATCTGAATAATCGCATTCTACTTCCCGAACTTCAGAGATACGGAATCGATGCTGCCATTCTGGGTTGGATGAACAGGTTTCTAGTTCAACCCCATCGATAGGGAAGGTTCATGGCACCATATCCTACCCAGCCGAAGTCCAGTGTGATGTACCTCTAGACTAGAACTATGCCTGTTCCTGGTCTTCGTAAAGGACTTCGCCAGTGTTGTGCCTTCAAATATTTTACTAATCGCCAGTCATATGAAGGTATGACGTGCTGTCACTGTGAATGTAGATCACGACCCTGCACAATGATTTGGATAAAGCTTACACATGCTCCACAGAGAACACATTCCAGTTCAGCGCCGTGAAATACAAACTTCTGAGCAGTTACAAGCAAAGCACTCGTGACTACCGGCTAGGATCACAAATTCTGCAACACACCTCTCATGAAAACGATCTCTGAGTGCCCGTGCAGGAGGATATCGACTTTCTTAGGTAAACCAAGGAACGTCGAACTAGCACTTGAACCTCCAGAGTAAGTCATACAGAAAGTTCGAAGTCTCAATGTTTCAGTAGCTGCTGCCGCGTATGTAAAGCTGCAAGTAGATTACGCTTCATAAGCCTGCTAACTATGGTAGGAGCACAATCTCATGGTTTACTAGCAGCTTTGGTTGAAAACCCTATGACTGTATACGGACATAATCTGCGTCTACGGGGCGATCTCATAAAGATGGGTCAGATCGTAAAATACCCTGAACACACTTCACACCATCATTTAAAACTCCACCAAAAATATCTTTGAGGGACAACTGTGTAAGTTGGACACGCAGTATAGGTGAATGGAAGGTAAACGAAACGCTATCTCCCTACGAGTGTCACAGCTCTGGAACTCCCTTACAGCGCGTGTAATTAATGTCCTCATCTTGTCACAATACAAAGACGTTTTGACCACGTATATCATATGAAAGTCCGCGCCCATTGAATGACCTCGTTAACACAAAACACTCAGTGGACCTCATCATACTCCCTTTAACCTCTTGACAGGAATACCCACATCTGTGTCACTGCATACTTGCGTGTTCTCTTATTGACGCTGTGTTTTCATCTTGTAATTTTCACCCCAACTTCCCTACAGGGCGTTTGCTTTTTACTCATGAGAAAACCTTGCTCCATTACTGGCATTCGCAATCGTTGCGTCTCGTTTTCTAGGATTTATTCAGTCAAATAAAGTACCGTACGCATATTCAAATAATTATGGTAAAAGCGGACGTTATGTTACATAAACCAAATAAACAGCAATGTATACTGATAGATTTTTGAGCTGCGAAATTTTTCGAGTTCGCCATTATGGTCAAATTATCCGTTTAGCTTTCACAGCTCAGATAACCGGAAGTGGATCACATGCCTCCGAATCGAACTCCATAATAAAGGCAGATGCGAACTGGTTGGAAGAAAATATCTTGGTGCAAACTCTTTCCACACGAAAATTAGACAGCTTACCTACTTCACCAATCTACCAGAATGAAAGCGGTACAGAAAATGCGCCATCCACTGGACGCACAAATACGCGCGGTTCCACTGTTGCGTATCCTCAGAATTGCTTGGATGTTCTGGAGGCATGTACTCAGCAACCCTCCTGTGCGCGGTCATTGAATCGGATGAGAGCACTCTGCGCCAAACGGTCATGCGGAAAACTCAGGTAAAACTTTAAAGAATAGAGGATGCAAAAATGTGAATTAAATTGGGAATTCTTATACTTCCGTTTGGCAGGCTCTTACTTGGGTAATTATATTAGTTCTCCCTCTCGTGCTGATATTAAGCACAAAGCAGCTAGTGCAATTCAAAGAGAATGTAAAAATAAATAATTTTGGAATAAGGACCTAAATAGCCAGGGTGAATTGTTAACAGCTGTGTAAAAACCGAACGCAGATCTACTGACTTGATCATGCCTCATAAGGCCTCCAACAACCGATGTGACTGATTCTGAGGCACACAGTCACAAGCAAAGCCCGCAGAACATGTCTGAATTCCAGACTTCAGTTCATCGTACTTCCAATCCACCTCATGGACTAGTGGGTTTTCCTCCGGTAGACGCAGCGACTGCGTAAAAAATCATTAAAGTAGATAGTGGATACTATGCGTAGGGCGCTTTGTAGTGATTTGTCTCTCCCCATCCTTCTCTCGTTGTCTCTTCCATAATGTATGGTCTCATTCCTGCAGCCTAATGAAACCATGACAACAAGTTTTCACGATTGCCCGATTGATTTGTGTTGCGGCAAAATATCTTAATTGTCCCTCGCTAGTAACCAATGTGCATACTGATTGTAATTATTTGGAGGTATGAAAGTATTCCTCCCTTCGTGAAATATACCTATTTGTTTGTTTAGCTAAAACTAGCCACTTTAAACTGTTCAGCTTTGCCAGACAACGCTATAGAATATCTTTCTTATAATTGACCACCGAGCGTTCCCATCAGATGTGTGAAATATTACGCAAGCAGCGGTGGTCGAAAACGACCAATCGTTTAAAATCTCCATTATGGAGTGGAAATGTTTGTCCATAGTGATAGTAGCCTTACTGCGGCGTTGTGAATCCTACATTTGACACATATGCTGATACGCTTCGGCTACTTCAACCATGTTTTCGAACAGCTGGGTCTGCTCCAATGAGAATTGTGTCCTCCGCATATTCAAGATTTGTCACTTAGTTACATAGTAGCAATTCTACTCAAAAATATGTTCAAAAGCAGTTAGTTAAGACAAAGGGGAATATGGGAACCAAATAGGAGTGGACTATGCAGGAGATAGTTTCCCGCGGACCGGTATCAAGCCGGGGATCGGTAGCGTGGTTTCAGCATGAAAAATGCAGTTTTCATTGAACTCCCTTTATGGATAGGCGATGCCAAAAGCAGGCACAATCAACCTATTAAATGACAAGTTCCAGATGAATGAAAACCATTCTAGTCGTTCATCTGGAAGGGTGCATTTGGTCCAATGGTAAAAGTTAATCGGTGAAACTACAAACAGAAAGACAACCTGGTTTCTTAAGACTCGGGTATTATTAGGACTGGAAATCCTCGAAGAAGTGGTACCTTTTGCAAGCTTGAGGTAATGAAAATCAGGCTAATGCTTCAGTAGTTTCGCAAAGATTCCTCTGAACCATTTTGATCACCGGGAGCACATCTGACACACTCCTTACTTGCCCCAGCTATTGTGGAATAAGCCAGATATCGTAATTGCCAGTCAATCACTTATCACGAATAGTAAGCTTGCAGGAAGATTGTCCATTCCAGTGGAGTCGTCTACTTTTATTAATTCTAACAACAACGACGACATTAGTTGATCTCCTTTAATGCTTGCGCGAGATCATCGTCCAACCTGTTTTCCAGCAAGCTTGTCGTTCAGGCCTAATGAATTCTTCTCAAAGTGTATTGCAGTATACTCCTTTCGACGTGACGTAGTATATAGCGGCATTGTATATTTCGCAGCTATCATATCATTAATTGTGAGCATTTCTTGACCATCGTCACGCCTGATCACACTCCAAAGCATGCAAATTAGGCGTCAATTCAGGGAGCTAAAACCAAGCTGAAAGTACTTACCTCAAACAACCTAATCGATAATTCAGATATGTAGAAACAGTATAAATCACTGAAGTTGGGCAGACCGGCGAATTCATGTGGTTCTCAATGAGAAGTTTGGCATGATGACAGATGACATTATGCTTGCCTCAATCGTTTCGTCAGTGAAAAATGGTGCGCCAGCAAGTAGAGATATTCGTAAAACAGATTTATCAGGTCGCGTAAGCGAAAAATGTGCTAATGCGAAAAATGCACACGCAGGCAAAATAAAACGTGCGTCGGTGAAGTCACACGTCAAAGACATATTAAAAGCAGAATTGTGGCAACGCGATGGCACCATGCGGAACGTGATATTACGTTGACTTGAGGTATGCTCATTGTAAAGAACAATCGGACTGCTCACTCGTTGGCCCCGATTTACGTGCTCCAGCGTGGTTTACAATTCTAAAGTTAGTCAGCTAGAATGAACCACACAGTATGCGTTCAGAGATAACGGCGAACCCCACAATATACAAGCGTTTTATTTGTAACTGGTTAGGGTTGGGTCACTCAAAGCTGAGTTCCGAAAAGCGATCTAAAGTAGACAGACCCGAGGTAGAAAATAGTGTTGTTGAAGTCAAGCGGTTCCACGTAACATCGCGCCGGACTCGTATACCCCACCTTAAAATTCGTCAGTCAGGTTGCTGTGGAACAGTTAAGCGATGCGTTATCGGTGACAAAGTGAACAGTTGTCAACTCTCTCTGTCTTGCCAAAAAGACACTGTTACAAGTTCGTTGATAGTGTGGCCCCATAAGTGTTACGTTTGTCGGGGTGTAATTACGTCACCTAGAATACCACCTTTGTATCATTTTTAAGTGACGAATACGCCGTCCTCCGGATAACGGGGAAAACCGTGATATAAATACCAAGCTGTACACACCGTGTTCGTTCTTCGATCGAACTACGCTTGAGCAGTAAATGCTTCGCTGAAAGTGTTGGTCATTTTCTCTCTAGGAGCCGCTGGTATTTGTGTTGTGGCCGTTTTACTCATAGTACAGTGCAAAAACCGTTTGCCGACTAATTCACTGGGGGCTCTTCGATCCGAGTTCGTCCAAGCACTTGTCCGTATCAGCCTATTCGATGCTCGGGCTCAGGGCGCTGAATTCAAAGGCAGTAGTTACAACAAGAAGTTGGTCGGTAATTTGGACGAATGTTTTATTGTCTTAATTTCAAGCTATTGCTCCTCAGTATGGTGTTCGGGCTGTTTCAGAAGGTGGTTACGCACGTCGCTAGGGTCGCAGAGTATTTGGCATGCTATTATGACTTCTCTCTGTATGTTTAGAGCAACCAACCATAGTGATTGGCGGGTTTCATTGCTTCACTTGACTGACTTGGTTGTAAAGAAAGTTGTGCATCGAAGGGAATCGTTCAACAACTCCTGTTGTTATGCCGTTATCTTCATGTCTCAACCACACACCGATTATCGTCCGGGATTTGCATGAAGCATGCATCTCGCAACCTTGGATGGGTCAATTTTAATCATGTACTTTGTATGCCATAGTAGATTGTGTACCTACGCTCAGAGTCAGCCGAATTTTAATGTTTACTAGTCTGCCCTTTTGACCTGGCTCCACTTGGCTTACTACCGACGTTAAAATAGCGATGAGCAAAAGTGGTACTCTCCAGTTATTGAAGACAACGTGCAGTGCTCCTAATTTTCGTCAATCTAGCTGAGCTTATAACCCGTGAACTGTTGCTTTCCACGGTTAAGTTATGCAGTGAATGAATGTGTCTGAACTCTAGCAACTGTTCTGCAGGTTATCAGCAATTCTGAGGGCACATGGAAAATGCCAAGCAGCATGACCCAAAAGATCGAAGACATAGGCAAACAATTTTACCAAGTTATGGTAGGAACAACTTCATCATTGCTGGGTCCCAGTGCGTTGTAATTCAACTAAGGCTTAATACCCTTGAGTTCAGTAATTTTGATTACATATACATGGTAGTATCTGCTATTGAACACCTGTACTGTGTGGTTTCAAAGATACATTTCGACTTGCATTCAATGTATTAAAAGATATATAGGAATCAGCCGATATGTATATGCTTTGTCGCTTGCGAAATCAAACTGAGTCTGTCTGTTACCTAACATTTTACAACTTAGGAACGCAGATTGTAGTTTAAGCCAACTACACTTGGTGCAATGATTTTGTAGGTCCGTTGCTGTGCCACAGAATGCCAACTCACATATGCCGGTCGTTCGACAAATTTACGATCTCGCAAACGGTTTCAATGCACCACGGACGATAATAGTTTTCGCTGCTTCAGAAGTTTTTCAATCATGTCCGTCCGTCTACTGCAAAATAATTTGCTGGATTCTCTGAAAGCAAGCCGAAAGTGCATAGCATCCAAAATATTTCCAAATGCTTACTGTTGCATGAATAATGTGGCATTGATCCAGTCAAGTCAAGATAAGCCTTATACATCAGTGTGGGATCATTTTCAGCTTTCATTAACACATATTGTCGTTTCGGAGATGAGCTGCAGGCAGCATGGCACTGACGCTGGTGCAGTTTTACAAAACAATCTGGGTACTGCTTTATAAATGAGAGTTTTCATTTTTAAACAAGCAAGATGGAAATTTTATTATAGAAGAGATCCCGAGAGTAACGGTTCTTTTATCTGAAACGTAGTTTAGGGAAACACATAACTTGAGTTTGGCCTACGTACTTTAGACCATAGCTTAATCCACGATTTCATAAAATGGCGGATGCCACCCTATCAATTCCTCACAGTTGCTTCTTTCTCACTCCCGTGGCACCATCTCGTACTTGAGCGAATTCATTTTAGTAAATTATGTATAATTCCCTATCACCGTGCATTATTCTAGTCTTAGACGTTATGGTTCTGGACAAAATGTCATTGATTTGGTTCAAACAGAGGGGCGTACTTCATCATAAGCACTGTTTTAACCCACAGAGGCGAACCTGTTGAATGGAAGTGAGCAACAACTTTGAGTTCCTTCGCTGCATTCCCAATTTCGGGTTTATTCGTAGTCACTTTCTCAAGATAATGTTCTCAAAAAGAGGACACATTGAAGAATGTGACCATAATACAGTCTATAGTATCCCAAAGAAGTTTTAGATCTGGCTGTATTGATAATCTTTTTCCATCCACAGACAACAATGCTTGGCGGCACACACGGTATATCGAAGCCACAAGCTAACTCAGAACTGCACATGCGAGATGGAAAAAGATATTTCGCGCAAGAACCGCTGTCTGCATTTCGAAGGGGTCGTTCGGAACGAATGCGCAGGTGGGTCAAAGGATTTCGATGTACCATTTTTAGCTTGTGTTGCTTGTTCTACTTTGCGTCGACTCAAGTATGCATTTGTTAAACCTTATACCTTACATAAGCGTAAATGTTACTGGAGCAGTTGCGAATTTTTAAGGCTTACTTATGCAACCCTCATATGTAACTAAGCAATGAATGGTTTATACACAAGTCGCATCCGCGTGGTATCAGCAGTACGCCAGTACGCAGTACCGACGCTTCGCTGCCGCGCAAGCACCTACGGTCGCACACGGGCTAAGGATACTGTGAGGGTCACCCTGTCCCTACACAGACTCGAAGGTGCACCGTCAGATTTCAAGACAACTCGTTACCTTCAGGCTACGGGCCGGGTCGCACAGTGAAGTTGCTCGACTTCCACATGAATCGGATGTAATTTCTAAAAAGTCTGGTCAGCAAATACGGTCTGAATGGTAGACCTATCATTGCAGATGGTGACTATTAGCGCTATAATACTAATAACAGGTATATTTAACAGCAAGTGAGAAGTTGCGTCCACAGTCAGCACAGATAAAATGTATGTGCAGATGATACCATGATCTCGCGTAAGCAAAATGCAATGATGTTCTTATATTTGACTGCGTCAATGGCAATGTACATGTCTTACATGTTTGAGTTTTACGCAAAGGTGGAAGGCAATGGTGCAATTTGAGTCGACTGAAGACACTGAGGGCTACTTACTTTAAGTGAGATTTAATTATTTCATGCATGAAACGGTATCTAGTCCTTCAGCAAATAGATCGAACAAAATGTCATAATCGTGTCCAGGTCGAGATAGCTTCCCAGCCTACTACGAAATGATTGCACCCTCTTACACGACCTGATTGTGACGCGATCCGATCAGAAAGAATTCGGATTGCACGTCTGTCTTGCATCATAGTATAATCAGGGTAAATTCTTTGTTACGAAGGTCGCTAGTGAAACTGCGTTGCAGTGTCATTATAGGTAGATTGCAATAGATATTGTCATGAAACAGTCTGCACAGCAGTATCAAGTTCTGCTTTACTCTTCACACTTAATGCGGATCGATTTGAAGTTGCTGACAAAACTCCTGATAGCTCTTGGTAGAATTTTTCTAAAATGCCTTCAGTACAAAACGGCTGCATGCTTTCTATGGCTGTTCTATTAGATAGTCTCATACTGCAATACTCAAGGATGAGACAAGTGAGGATGTTATAAAAGTGCAAATCTGCCTGATATCGTATGCACTTGTAGGATATGTTAGCTACGGATTGTCTGCCTCGTACTATCTGATACTCAATTTGCTGAGAAATGTTTAAGGTTCATTGGTATCTGATTTCGAGATCGCGTGTAGGCAGTTGTACACAGAAGCACGCGCTGTTAAGCCTGACCGTTCAGGTGTAATGTTGGCTAACCTAGTAGTGATACCTGGACTCCAAAGAAGCTATCCTTATCAGTAACTGTTTGTGAGGCACTCGATCAAATGCCTTTTGCATGTCCATGAATAGAATTATGATTGCATATCCAGAGTCAGTGTAGTCCGATTCGTGGGTTAAATAATGCAGCTGGTAGGTAGTGCACAGTCGCTTGTCAAAAAACCATGCTGGTACGTACTTATGAGTTCCAACAATTTGTGGAAGAGTAGCACACCCATTTTAACCGATTTTTCGTATAATCTGGTGATTATAGGGGTGTGTTTTACCAGTCTGCAATTGTCAGTTTTATGTTTTGGGACGCCTTTGTAGCAAGGGAAAATAAACAAAGTTGCTATTGATCGGGAAACTGGCTTGATCTTAGGAAGTTGGCAAACATATTCAAAAGAAGCAATAGCATGTCAGGCCTCCACATTTTTATGGCGGATTGGGGAATGTCATCAGCGCACAGAATGGAAGAGGGTCGAATATACTTGTTTGGTGGATAGTACAAAGAGAAATATCAATTCCATGTACAGCCTAAAACGTTTTTACTCCAGTGTGCATTTATAGATGCAATTTTCAGATCCATGAAGATGGAAAAGAAGGTGCTAAACGCTTCACAGTTAGCCACTGAGCCTTGGAATGAGTGGACGTCTTCGTCGATCAGTTCAGTGCTCAAAGAGAGGCGGCAGCTGCTTCTGCAATGCAGAGCTTTGATGATCTCTTGTGCTTTACATGTGATTCGTAGAGCCGTTTGCTCTTCATGTGTTCTTCACATTAACTAGGAATACTTGATTTCAACGATGCATAAGTACAACTACAACAGCACTGTAAAAGTCCTTGTCTTTTTGTAGCGCGCGGTCAGTTTTCTATGTTCCTTGCTGTTGGAATGTTTATTTACATCTTGAACTTGACAGACCCCCTTGTCTTGCGGAGCCAGAAGGATGGTAACAGGATGAACCTAATGGTAAAACTACTCCAAGGCTGTGCAAAATTATTGTAGAGAAAGAAGGCGTACTTATCTGAAGATCGGATAGTGTGACGAAATGGTTCCCAGTTTATCATGTGCATTGCTTAAGGGGGAAGATAAATTTATTTGGTGCCAAGTATAAGGCTGAAGATGAGGTCCAACATTTTATGGTCGCTGCCGGGGAAATTGTCTAAAACGTCTGTCTGTGCTTTGGTGATACCCAATGTAATATCAAGTCTAGTGTATTAGTCGACTCATTGTGTCAAGTCACTAAATCAGACAGTAGAAGGGAAGACTGTGTGTATAGACGTGGATGGTTGGGAAGAGCCGTATAATTTTGGTAGGTTGAAATAACCTGCAATTACCTTTTGTCCATGTTGCATCTCAGATGCAAGTTCGAAAGCTGTAATGATACCGGCAACTTTAGTGCTTGATAAATTCACGGGAGTATAGACGCAACCAAGTAAAACATAAAATGAAACTCATGGGACGGAGAATCGGAGGAGTTTTGGAACATTTTCCTGCTGTGGATGTTCAAGGAGCTCTACTGTATGTGTGTGGTGGCAGTATATCAAGCATCCTCCGGTTTCTCTTTCTCAGTGACATTTTCGAAAAACGGTGTTAAGTAGGAATCATTAGAGTAGAGTCTAATGTATCGGAGCAGCACTACGTTTCGATAACGTAGGTTGCATGCGCCGCGTTGAAATGTACAAGCATGCTTAAGAAAATCAATTTTCTTGTTAATGGATCTCGTATTAATCAAAAATACTATAAACATACTATGAAGGGTGAGATCTGCGTTTTACAATTTGCCAGTGTGTGAGTGTTTGTAATCGGGCATTATTGGCCTAGTAGATGTGTGAGAGCAGTTGAATCGAGTCGGTTATTAGTAATCGTGCAGGTGGGAGTAATGTGTCCCTTGTGAACCCCGATATATCTAGGGGTTTGGAGGGGGTTAAGGCATCATTTCCACATTGCGGTTAATTGGCACTGAGCTAATCGGATCATCTGAAGAAATTGCAGAAACAACATGGGCATATAGTTGGGCTCTGCCGGATATATATGGAGAGGAAATGATTCCGGTTCCATTCTAAATTGCACTTAAAAGGATCGTAAATAGTCATTGCGTTGGGGGATGCACATGTCTGAGATGGAGTAGGTAGTGGAAGTACCCGCTTGACAAAGTTTCTCCTATTATCATCGCCAAGTCAGTGATTATGGCGTGATATGAAATGAGGGCTTGGAGTACGCAATACACATTTACTGGTAGTTTTCATCTTCTCAACATATCGCTTCGTATTGTGGTTGTAGGAGAGTGATTTATAAGAATCATGAGTTGCCTCTGTGCTTTTCATATTTTTATGGCTTTTGTTGACTCCGACTCCCAGAGGGTTCAAGCCGTAGGAGGTTGTCCACAGCCTTGGACTGTCTGCCTTTGCTGGTCCATAGGGCATTGAATTCAGTTGGGGGCACTGTTATCCGGCCCTTGATATCCACCTCTCCCCAATGCTTAACACTTATCTCAGCTGGTGTGTTCAAAAATTTCAAGTCAGTTGACCCACGTGTGTTAGGACTCGGGTTATCTTCTTTGTTCAACTGTCGCACTAGTGACTTTGTAATATTTTTAGAAACCATGGAGCTCGAGGTCTCTGCCACATGACACGAACAGAAGAGATCCACTTGGACCCACCTAATTTTCTCAATAAGCGCGTTTTCTTTTTGGACCTTTTCTTAGAATTATCGACGCAGTGCCTTTCATTCCGACACTGGTGATGAAAGACCTCCGATGGACTTTTGTAGGGATTCCCTATCAGGGTTAGTCAGTAAATCGCTGAACGCAGTACCTTGGGCTATGTTGACTTGACTTTTCAGGGAACGGTTAGCAGATGCTTCACTTACGAATCTGCAAATGATCGCCCTGCAGTTCTTTAATGTTTTTTAATCGTTGGCGTTTACAATGAAATGAAACCGTTTCCGTGCACCGAGGATATCGTCAGGAGACAAAGAGACTTGAATTTTTGCATGGGGTAAAAATATATTTTAAACACTTTACCAAACTATTCTCATGTTTGCCGAAATCCAAATACGCTACTTTTAAAGAAGAATTGTTGCACTACTAAGTGAATTGCATCCGGCCCACAGATAAGCTTCTCAACCGGAGATATATGGATCCACCCAACTTCCCCCATGTACAACTGACTCAGCGCATACAATCCAAATTGTCGCAGTTAACAATGTAACTGCTCAGATAGATGTGCTACTGAATATGCGTGAGGATAAAGCAGATCAACGAGAGATAAAAGCTCTTAATGGGTCATTTAGATGACGCGTTCGTCTCGCTAAAAGAAATGTGGTGCTTCCTCGCCTTTCCGAAGATTAGATCTAAATTGTCGTCGTCAGACGATGTATATCTTAACTAGACAGAGTACCATCAAACAGCAGCTGAAACTCCATTAGGCGAGCTCATTTTGGGCAGGCACCATATTGTTTCATGAGTAAGGATTGGCCGTCTGGAACACGTAGTTGAGTGATTGATGAGATGAGGTACCGGAAAGCATTGTAGTGTGTGAAAAACCTGACTGTATAACCACCGGCCTTACTGGTTTTAGGTTACATTTCGCCAACCAACTTTACCCATCCGATGCGGCATTCAGCAATTCACACAAGCCTGCGTATTCGAGTGCGAATGAACACGAATTTGTTACCTGAGACTCTAATCGGGGTGTTACTATTCATCTAGGTTAACACTTCATCCATTTTATTTATCTATTGGGTCTGGTTCAGGTAATGTAATCCCATCCACCACATCAGTTGATGCACTTTGCTTAATTGATGTTACGAAATTTCCCCTTGTAGAGATGCAAGAACTTCCAGTCGACAGTATGCATGATATGATTAAGATGCACAGCCCCCCGTACCTTTTATCAGGCGCTGGAGGTCCGGAAGGCGAAGTTGACTATAAATTGAGTCCATACAGCATAAGGCCTGCCAATGAGACAACACTGCGCCTGAAGAAGAAGAACAATCGAAGCACCAAGTCGCATTATTGCAGTGAGTTCTTCATAACCCAAGTATAAGAACACGTTAATCTACTTGAATGGTGGGCTAGCTGTAAGGGCAGTTCAGCATATTCACTGGTGGATTTTAGTCCTTGCTTCTGTGTGGTTTCCATGTACCATAGTTATATTTGAACTGAGTTTTAATGTTTAGGCAAGCAAGCCGCTACCAAGAAATTTAGCAAGGTAGAGATAACATAGTGAAATATTGGATAGGCTGCAGCTGTTTTGTACACGTTATCGCCTTTCGCACAAATGAAGTGGTATGTCGAACGTCTGGACGGTGGTGAAGTTCCTCATCCTACACAAAAAGAAGGATCCGTACTCTCGCTTTTTCTGCGGGTACAAATGTGTTAATGCGTGAAAATGCAAACCGAATAATTATTAATCAAGTCGATGAAATTCAAGAGGAACATGAGTTTGAGACGAAGTGGGTCAATTTATTTTTATTCAATATATATTTTTCTTTTTTGTAAACATTCCTTGAAGAAGGGCAGTGGTCCTTGGTATAGTTTGCACACATGTCAAAATGGAGAGCAAATCTTTGCTCACGTAATAGGAAGCAGCCTCATAATTCCGTCGGTTATTTCTCAATATCACTGTACCAGATAAGTCTGAATCCAATGTGTATAAAGTTGCCCCCAATTACCTACACTGTAAACATCACGGACACTTTCTGTCCCACAACATAAAATTTAAGTTCTTGCTGATTTAAAAACCAGTCAGTTTTCATGAGATGTTATCAGTTTTACGGTAAAACCAACGTAAGAGTACTATATGTTACGGCCACCCCTTAACCACATTCTAATCAGTCATTTTATTCATAGCCATATTCAAAATGGATCAACCTTAGCTCTAAGTCCCAAATATTTTTTATAAACATCGAAGAGAATATCTAGGAGAGGATTCAACTGTGTAAAGCATCACTGACCGCTGGTTCTCAAACCGGCAAACCACCGACAAATTGCGTACATGTGTACCTGTAAAATGTTTACGGAAACTAATTAGCCTCTGGCAAATGAATGACACCAAATTTATCAAACCAAAAGAGAATGGAAAGTCCGACTTGTTTACATCTGCCGCACAAAGACTAAACTTTTAGTGGGCTTATACATCCGTGGGAGTGAACAACCCTGATCACCGTAGCTGCGCAGAGCAACGCCAGACTGCCTTAACTGCCACAGTATACCAAACCGTTAAAGATGGTTGGTATCCGACCGACAGTCAAACGAAAGAATCACGGCGCCAAACCTGTCATGTGCACAGATGTTCCGGAATCATAGTTTACCACTATTAAAGGGCAGCTGGCAGACAATCATAACCAGAGGAACCAATTTGCGATGCGATTGGGATTTCAGCTGAGCCTGACACGCTGTGACGGTTCAAATGTTTCCTAAATTCATTGGGTCAAGTGGAACCTCGAATTCTCCGAGCGACATCGAGTTTCGCTTTATTAATTCGGCGCCGTCACTCTTTCCATGATGTACTCATACATCTGGACTTCTTTTGGAAAACACGTACGAAAGAGAACTTCAGCTGTAATGAAGTCAGTATATTTAACAACAAACACCACCATTGGTTAAGCAGTTCCCGCGATCCAAAATTCTTACACTTAAGAATCAGAAGCAAGTAACCGTGAGCAACGATGTTACTTCCGCTAAGCACTATCTTTCGACTAGGTAATTGCTGAGCGGTTTATAAGAATTCCACTTACACCCAAGTAAAACGGGAACGGTCGCAGGCTGATAAATGTGGTGCTTCTGTCTGTGCTAATGACACCGCTCATTATGAAAAAGTGGACTAACTCCCATAAGAGGTTGCTACAGACATTCGATTAAATGCAGCAGGTACGCGGCCCCGGGTGGTCGACGATTCACTAGGATGGCCGAATCAGAGAACCTTTCCCTCTTACAATAGTGGGAGTGATTGACCTAACGGAATACGTTGAAATGCGAGAGACCATCATGGTCCGGACAGACTTGTGCAGCCGTATAACACAGTCGAACTTCAAAGTCCAACGACTCGCAGTGCTGGGGACCCTACAACATCGGACTACGAACAATGCTGAGTTTACCCCCACCTTTCGTATCAAGAACAGGTAAAGAACCTGAGAGTGTTCGATGGAAGCTACCGGCGGCTACGTGAAGATCTCGTAATTGCATACCAAGAGCTTTGCAACCGTAGTCACGTAGGTGGCCACCCACAGAAACTCAGCGCAAACACCAAAATGAGAGGCAATGACTTAAAATTATGTCAACAATACATCCGTCTAGGTTGAGGACCACCTACTTGTTGGTGGTGTGATTATTCGCTGAGCTCGTCGGTTTGGCTGCAAATGTTTCGTTACCACTCGAGGTGACGTCGTAGGTGCGTGTGCATGTAGTGGAGCTGCGAAGTGCGAAGCGTCAGTGAATTCAGCGAAAAAATCATACCGCAAACTGAACAACGTGAGCTATTAATAATTGCTTCTATATCGCATTTACTTATTGTAATGCTTCCTCTGAATTCAGCGCCCTAATTCGGAACATCGACTGGGCTGATGTGGACAGGTAATTAGCCGAATTCGAATCGACCAGCCCCTATTACTTAGTCGACAAACGATTTTTCTTCAATGTACCATGACAAACGGCCACAACACAAATACCAGCGGCTCCTAGAGAGAAAATGACCAAGTCTTTTAGCGAAGCATTTATTGCTCAAGCGAAGTTCGATCGAAGCACGAACACGGTGTGTACAGCTTGGTATGTATATCACGGGTTTCCTCGTTATCCGGTGGAGGGCGTACTCGTCATTTACAAATGATACGAATGTGGTATTCTGGGTGACATAATTACACCCTGACAAACGTATCACTTAGGGGACCACACTATCTACGAAGTGGTAACTGTGTCTTTTTGGCAAAACAGAGAGAGTTGCCAGCTGTTCACTTTGTCACTGATAACGCATCGCGTAACTGTTCCACAGCAACCTGACTGACAGAATTGGAGGACGGGTATAGGCGTCCGGCGCGAAGTTTCATGAAACCATTTGAATTCAACACCCCTATTTTCTACTTCGACTCTGTCGACTTTGGATCGCTTTTCCGAACTCAGCTTTGAGTTACCTCACCCTAATCAATTACCAATAAAACGCTTGTATATTGTGGGATTCTTCGTTATCTCTGAACGCATACTGTGTAGTTCATTCTAGCTGACGAACTTTGGAATTAACAACCACGCTGAAACACGTAAATCGGGGCCAACGAGTGAGCAGTCCGATTGTTCGTTACAATGAGCATACCTCATGTCAACGTAATTTCCCGTTCCGCATGGTGCCATTTCATTGCCACAATTCTGCTTTTAATATGCCTTTGACGTACGACTTCACCGATGCACATTTTATTTTGCCTGCATGTGTATTCTGCGAAGTTGCCCCTTGTTGCCCTACACGTGAAAAATCATTATCTGATCGTTCCTTTTATCTATTTTTCATTTTCTTACCCCAGGATTTCTGTTGATCTCTATCCCGCTATGCTGGATCTCATACCAGGAGTGAATTTTATCCATCAATTTTCAAATGTCAGCTTGGACGTGCATGTTTCGTTTAACATCCACGCATATTCGCGAACCTCTAGACGACTCTTTTATGCTGAGCCTTCGAGGAAGACTAAAGCACAACTTCCAGTAAGCTGCATCCATTATCAAATGTAGCACTGAAAATGACACTTAAAATTAACCATACAAACACCAAAATCAATGCAAATTGGACATCGCCATGTGCGAAATCGTTTGTTTTTTTGTGTAGATCGTGAGTTTAGCTTTTACTGGCCTTACCCTTTCATGCGATTTGTGCAATCTACGCTATGCTATTTTCGTAATCTGTGTTGCCAAATTTTTTCGAAATGTAGATTCGCACTGCTTATATGTGAACATATCACTCGTCTTACTCTGCTGGATTCGAACATGGCGGTTCGCACTGTTTCAGCCTTTTAGGACCAAAGCAAATCCTTCGTGAGATTGTGCTTGTAGTATGAGGGAAAAATTCTTGTTATTGTAGCCACACAGAATTTCAGCTGAATGTCATCCTACGAAAGTGGAAATAACATATATGGGTATTACTTTTGCTTATGCTCTATAAACGTTTGATAGTTTCGATATGGTTATTACTAAACATGTACGCAAATCGCGTACCATATTTGAGCCAGATAATCGCTTGACGTTAGAGGTTGGTTTACTATTAGGAAGTAAGGCAATAAGGTACACCGGTCTAGTCATTGTCAGTAGTATTTTCACATTGATAGGCCTGATCAACATCTGCTTTTGCGTATGCAGATATATGCAGACATAACGCAATATTATGGTTCCCAGGTCGGCGGTACACACTTAGCAATAGATGCATATTGGTTGATGCAGCTAAAAATTAACGCACCCCATGACGGGTAATGAAATATCTGATCACATTACATAGAGGTGGGTTCGAAATGTCCCCGCCTAAAGCTTGTAATAAATATTGGTTCTCGCAAACAACTACCTGCTGTAACTGTTGTATAGTCTTACTCCGCTTAGTAATTAACTTAGGAAAGTACCATCAGTTTTCTAATGTGAATATGTAAGTTCTGTATCCCTAACGAGATCTAGTCCGGCGCAACGAGACTGGACCTTAACGTGGTGCGACGGTTTGCGTATCTCATTGACCCATTGAGCCATACTGAGTGATGCACCCGGGCAACTTGACAGCTACTGCTGCCAGGTTGGTCAATGGTGAGAGGTCAGACAAACTCAGTCTCCTGGTCCTCCACGTTGGGGGTTTGAAATGGGGTGGCGTCCATTTCTGTTAAACTAAAGCATTGCCGCCTCCCCGCTGCCTTGCGGACAGGCTTTTGAGCCAAAGGCTTTGGATGAGGACCCTAATCGTCCTCCTGTCTAGGTCTGGGCGCCCTGGAAGTATCTCAGCCCACATACAACCATGACATTTTCTTCAAACATAAACTTCATCCTGCATCTGTCGTCGCGCAGATTATCAAGGGTCGCCTTATCTGCTGCATACAGCAGGGCGGATAAGCGAAAACATCCTACCTTCTTTCTTTTCCACCTGTTTCTCTTATTCCCATCCCGACCCCATTAATAACCCTCCTTCTATAATTCCCAGGTTAGTAGACAGCAACCGAAGTGCCATTGGAGTAGAACCATCTGCAGTCACCATGCCACAACGCCTATCGGATGCCTATCTACAAAAATCCCTTAAAACACCACGCTATCCCGTTTCAATGGCGACATTCAACGTTCGCACTCTAAGACAAACAAGTCAACAGGCTGCACTCGCACGCACCTTGGACACACTGGGTATTGATGTGTGTTGTGTGTCCGAAACTAGGGTCAATGGCCCTAATGGGGTTGTTGGATTAAATTCACCCGGCTTATCTTCTCGTTATGGTTTGCACAAATCCGGAGACGTCGATGCTACACTCACGGGTCAAGCTGGTGTATGTATCATTCTCAGCTCCAAGACTGAGCCATCGTTGGTTGATTGCGTTCCGGCGAACAGCAGTTTATGTGCAGCCCGTTTGACGACATCAGCTAAGGTTGATTCACGAAGTAGTACAAAACGTTGTTTGTTCGTGATTTCCGCTTATGCTCCCACCGACTGCAGTTCAAATGCTATAAGGACACATTCTATCACGAATTGAATGCGCTGTTACGCAGTGCTACTAGTTCAGACATTATAGTATTTGCAGGGAACATGAACGCGCAAGTAGGGCGTCTCAGCTCTTCAGAAGCTCAGCTAGGTGATAAATGTGGGCTTAACTCCGAGTGGACTGACAACGGCGAACATCTGCTGCAACTGTTTGCGGAACATCAGTTGTTTCTTAGTAGCACTGCTTTTAGACACAGTGGGCGCCGAAGTGCTACTTGGTGTCCTCCTGTAGCTGACCAGCGATGGACCCAAATTGATCACATGGTGATAAGTTACAGATGGCGTGCTTCCATCCTGGATTGCCGCTCGTACTGGAGTACCTGTGTCGACTCTGATCATGCCTTGGTTTTCGTTTCTCCATGAACTTTACCAGGAGGCGCACCAAGCGTCCCCTACGATTGGCAACTGAAAAATTGTCTCAGTCCTCAGTCAGGCAAGCCTATTAAGACACACTGCATACTGAACTTCATAAGTGTTTTCCTAATGGCACTGAGCTTCAGTGGAATGGGATCTCGGCCGCCATGCACCATGCAGGAGCATCTGCTTGTGGCACTATCACTCGTCATCGCACCAGTCACTGGAAATCCGAGAGGTCGGTGAACCTGTTGGAAAATAGAAGACATCTCCCGACTGGGTCTGAACACAGTGGGACCAGACGGGCTCTTAGGCGTGAAGTAAAGCAGTGCCTGCGTGTTGACAAGGAAGCCTGGTGGACCAGTCGGGCTCACGAAATGTAGGAGGCAGGGGCAGTAGGTAATTACTGCAAGCTCTTCCAGCTAATCCGCACCACTGGTCCCAGAAAACCAGGCGTCAGTGAGACAATCAGAGACAGCGCGGGTGCTCTTATACACAATAAGGAGCGCCGTATGGCTCGTTGGGCGGAACACTTTCAAGCTCAGTTCAGCTGGCCCCCTGCTCCCGGACCGTTTTCTACTCAGGTGATGAAGGACGAGCCATGGACGGTTAGTTTAGAGCCTCCGTCGGATGCCGAGGTGCGAAACGCGATCACAGCCCTCAATCGTTTTCGTGCCGCTGGCCCGGATTCCCTACCACCTGCACTATTTAAGGATGGAGGTGAGGTCCTCTGCAAAGCACTGACCTCCTTATTCGAATGTGTCTGGAAAGAAGAGAGCGTCCCGGCTAATTGGAGCGAATCGATTATGGTGGCAATATACAAGAAGGGCAGTCGCACAGACTGTTCTAACCACAGGGGTATTAGCTTAACGACAGTTGTGACAAAATTATAGGCCTCGATTACCGTCGTCACCTCACTGCAGAACGGGAATCTCGTAGTAGAGAAGAGTACGCTGGTTTCCGCCCAGCACGTGGCTCTGTAGACCATATAATCACTTTGCGGCTGGTGCTAAAGCAGCGCCACGCATACCGCAGACCGACAATAGCTGTGCTCCTCGATTTCAAGGGTGCGTTCCATTCAGTCGATCGATCGATTCTGTTCGAATTACTTGCGCGGAAAGATGTTCCCACAAAATATGTGAACATCCTTCGTGCTCTATACTCGAACACTACAAGTCGGCTCAGGGTTTACGGTGTCCTATCAGATAGCTTTCCGAATACAAGTGGCATTCGTCAAGGTTGTCCGATTTCCCCATTTTTGTTCAATTTCGTTGTGTATTCTATCATGGACTGTTCCTTTGCGGAAACTCACGATGTAGGCGTTGAAGTGCTGCCTGGTGAAAGGTTAGTTGATCTAGATTATGCGGACGATATCGTCTTACATTTCGACCACGTTACGGCGGCACAATAAACCCAGAATAGCCTGTCCAGAGTGGTCTCATTATTTGGTATGCACTTCGCACTTTCGAAGTGCAAAGTGTTGCTGCAAGACCACCAGCCACTTGGTGACCCCTTGACGCTTGCTAACGAGGAACTCGAGATGGTTGATAAATTCACTTATCTTGGCAGCTGCGTCAGCAATGATGGGCGCATAGAAACTGACGTGAGCTCACGCATTGCAAAGGCCAGAGCTGCCTTCTTGAACCTGCGGCATCTTTGGCGATAGAAGGGAGTTTCCCTCTGTCTGAAAGGCCGTGTATACAAGGCCACAATGAGGGCCGTTCTGCTCTATGGTAGTGAGACTTGCCCCCTTCGGTCTGAAGATCTGAGACGCCTTCAAGTCTTTGATCATCGTTGTTTGCGAAGCATTGCTGGTGTCGGATGGCACCAGCGTGTCCGCAGCGATGATGTGCGTAAGTGAGTACTAGGTAGTGATAATTATGTTAGCTCCCTATAACAACAGATCACTGAATAAGTTGTGTTGGCTCGGGCACGTGCTACGTATGCCTGGTCACCGCTTACCTAGGAGGGCCTTGTTCAGTCTACCAGGTTTAGGGTGGCGCAATGCTCGAGGTGGACAGAAGTTGACTTGGCAGCGTGAAATGAAGTCATTGACGACCAAACTGGGTGCCGTTGGTCTGTCTCCTATTCCGGGCTGGAGTCCAGGTGACTCGCCTTGTGCTTGGCTCGAGACTTTACAGGACATGGCTCCCAACCGACACCAGTATGGCGTCTGCTGCCGTCTGCTAATCAGATTTCCTGTTTAAAGTGTGTTTGGTGCTGAGTTATCTGCGGGGTAATGGCTGATTATGACGCGGGGCAGTGAAAGCCGCAAGGAAGCTGTCTCGCCGATGCCGCCTTATCTTTGCACGATAGCCAGCTGTTTGTGATGGAATGTTGTCTACACTAGGTGTAGGCGCCTTGACCCAGAATGTTTGCTTAGGGCATTAAGGTTTTCAGGTAAGTCCCCCCTCTCTCCCTCTTCCCTTTCTTTATTTTATAGGTCATCATGGTTGTAAGGCAGCGAAGCATCAGTTCAAATGGCTGATGTACTACAGTTGATGATGATGATGATGAACGAGATCTAGTCCTCTCTAATAGAGCTTTCTGCGGTCGGTAAAAGGAGCTGTATATTGAGTCTTAAAAGGCATTCGAGAAGCGTAGGAAGTATCTACAACTGGATCTAATCAATTCA